GTACGCTGTCGCCTTCAAATATTTACGATAAAATATCTGAGTGTTTCCTACCCTCATCTAAATTTCATAAAATTAGTGAGGAGATTATGCAATTAGTGTGCGGGAAACGGGCGGAATATATTGAAACTCGTAGGGAGCGTATCCTTAGTGAGATTTCAAACAAGAATTTGCGTGAGGGTCTGCGTAAGATTCCTCCGAGTTCTAGCTTTTTATTTGACGAAACTCTACTGCGGTCCTATATTCAGAATACGGGTGGATCAGATAAATGGCTTCAACCTTGGTTTTCTTCTGAGAAGAGCCAGGCTGTCAATAGTCGTAAAGTGCCTAGCAAGCCAGTTCAGCACAATTTTCGAGACTTATCAAATCAGCCCTTTCGTCAAAAAGCTAGCGAGTCAAGTTATCGGAAAAACCATAGCACAAGCTCATTCAAGCAGAACACTAAGAGCAAGAAATCCCAAGGTAAAGTCAATAGACGAACCAAGGGGCAACCTGATAAATGACTCGCAACCAATTCGCCAAACATTTTTACGGGGGCTGTCTCAGAGCGTATCTGAGACAGTGGCAGATGCTTCGGGCTCCGAAAGCCCTTCTCGAATTGATTACGGGAATGCGTCTGCCATTTACCTCCAAGCCACCACTCATTCTTCCTTCAATAAGAATGATGAAGCGGTTCGAGACCGCTCATACGCCAGAAATGTCAATTCAGATCAAGCAGCTATTACAACAAGGCGTTCTAGAAGTTGTGAAGCCACAGGATGTGGGTCCAAGTTTTCTTTCTACAATGTTCTTGACAAAAAAGAGCAATGGATCCGAAAGGCCAATATTCAATTTAAAGCGACTGAATTGTTTTATAATTCCGAAAACCTTCAAACTGATATCTCATTTTCAAGTTCCTCACTTCCTACAAAGGGAAGACTGGATGGTGAAATTGGACCTGTCCTCAGCTTATTTCCATGTGAACGTCACAAGGAGTCATCGGCGGTTTCTGAGGCTTGTTTACGACAACGTGATTATGCAAATGACATGCCTCCCGTTCGGGCTGTCATGTGCGCCCAAGGTCTTCTCAGCTCTAACGAACTGGGTAGCACAGTACCTGCGATCCAAGGGCATGCGAGTCATAGTTTACTTGGACGATTTTCTAATCGCATGTCAGTCGAAAAGTCAACTTCAAAGCCATGTAAGATCGGCAATCAGTGTTTTGAAGAACTTAGGATGGACAATAAACTACGACAAATCCGAGATCGAGCCAGTTCAAAAAATAGAATATTTAGGGTTAGTCTGGGACACCAAAGCCAACTACAAAAGCTTACCAACCAAAAAGATCCAGAAGTTATTACTGATATTGAAGAGGACAGTACGGAGACTGAAAATGTCATTAAAGGAGGCTCAAATAATATTAGGAACTCTAAACTTTGCCTGTTTCGTTGTACCAAGAGGTCGTCTTCATTGCCGTCAACTTCAAATACATTTACGAAATCTGATGCACCTTCCATCCAACCGCAAACCAGTGGAAGTAACATCTGTTGTCATGAGAGATCTCAGGTGGTGGATTACTACTCTGCAGAGTCCAATAATTCGGAGCAGCCTGCATTGTCAGTTAATTCAACATTTTTTGACAACAGATGCAGCGGATTACGGGTGGGGAGCACAATTGGACGACCAGTTCATATCAGGAGGATGGACGCGAGCCCAACGTCACTGGCATTCCAATCGGAAAGAGATGTTTGCCTTAATAGCAGCCGTAAAACATTTTCGAAATCGGCTTCATGGTCGTCATTTGAATTTCCAATCGGACAATCGAACAGTGATATCTTATGTTCGAAGAGAAGGAGGAACACGATCAACAGCGTTGCTCCATATGACTTATCAACTCTTGGATTTGATAGACAAAGAAGAAATTTTATTAACAGCAGAGTACATTCCCGGGAAATTCAACAGTATTGCAGACAACTTATCCCGTGGGAAAAGGATTTCGGAATGGCATCTTTTACGACCCGCTCTCGTCAATATATTCCGAAAGTTTGGGATTCCCCAAATAGATCTCTTTGCAAGCAAGGAAACGAGAGTTGTGGAGCAATATGTTACCAAAGATTGTCTGGACTCTTCAGCACAATTTTGCAACGCATTCAGTCGTCAGTGGCAATACCAGCTGGCATGGGTGTTCCCACCACCAAGCTTAATACCTCGAGTTCTGCACCACTTAAACGCTGCTCGAGGAACATTTCTTTTAGTAGCCCCAATGTGGAAGAAGGCTTATTGGCTACCAGATCTCCGTCGACGAGCGCTGGCCAGACCAATGAAAATAACCAAGCTGGACCAAGTGCTAATAGATCAGATAACCGGCCTCCCACCACCTCACGTTCAGAACATGGATCTTTACGTCTGGAAGATAGCAGCTGGGGCGAGGTAACTAAAGCTTGGTCAGAAGCCGAAAAATCGCTTCTTAGAGCTGGCTGGAGAGAATCAACATTAAAAACCTATGGACCAGCATGGTCCCGATGGATGAAATGGTGTAAAAATAATAGTTTTGATTGCAACTTTCCTTGTGATGTTAGTCTCTCGAGATTCTTAGCATATCTTCACCTTGAAGAGAGATTAGCTTATCCGACTATATTGTTGCATAAGTCAGTAGTTTTATCTTTTGGGCAAGTCAAACACAATGAAAATTTGAATTCTAACTTTCTCGTTCGACATATTCTTAAAGCTATCTCTCTTCAAAGTCCAAAGTTACAGAGATCACCCATTTGGGACCCAAGTGACCTACTTGCCTGGCTGGAGCTGAATCCCCCGAACAATATCAGTTTGTTTGAAGCTTCCCGCCGCTGTGCATGTCTTTTGTTATTAGCATCCGGTAGACGCGTTCACGACCTTACTTTACTCAGAATATCTAATGACTGTTACTTTGACAATGACAGTCATATTATCCTTTATCCTGTATTTGGGTCAAAAACAGACACAGCTACATACAGGCAATCAGGTTGGAAGCTCTCTTGTCATAGCAATGAGAATATATGCCCAGTTAGATGGTTAAGAAAAGTAGTTGAGTTAGGCAAGACGAGGCGTACAGCCGAATGTAATGAGTCCTTGTTTGTGTCGATTAGAGGTGTCATGCAAAGTGCGTCGCGTACTGTTATTGGTAACTGGATTAAAACTGTTTTGAAAGACGCAGGCATTACGGCTTCTCCAGGCAGTTTGCGTTCGGCTGTAGCTTCTTTAAACTGGGTTAACAATTTTCCAATAGAAGAAATTATTACCCGTGGTAATTGGCAAAATAAAAATACATTTGCTAAATATTATTGTAAGCAAATCATAAGCAGAGCTAAAAGTCAATGTGTAGAGAGTTTTTCGAATAATTTTGAGCCAGTTTGATTTATTTCGCTAATTGTGGCTAAAAAGTCGAGTATAATAGAATCATTTATATTATTGCTGAATTATTGTGATTCTGATTTATAATAAAACGGTGTTACTCATGTGTCTTTTTTGTTCTTGCAGCCTTTGTGCATCTAATTTAGTTTTCTTCCTCACATAGCGTCATTGTGGTCACCAGGAGTTATAAACACGTCTCTCACAGATGCTGTGCATCGTCACATCCCAAATAATAGTACAAGTTTTACAAAACAATAAAACTTGTATTATTAAGGAGAGACGATGCACAGCATCCATTCAAGTTCTCCTGGTGAGAGACTTCTATGAGGTAAGAACGTTCGCCTTAGGCGCCCTGCCACCTGGGACCACGTGATTTCAAGCAAGGCGTTGATTGGTCGAAAATATCAAAAGGAAGTCGTAAGTGATTGGCTAATAAAAGGGAAGTATACAGCGCCCTCTCACAGATGCTGTGCATCGTCTCTCCTTAATAATACAAGTTTTATTGTTTTGTAAAACTTGTACTATTTTAAAAAAACCCACTCTTTTTTTGGATTTCTAAAAATATTTAAATATATTTTTTTTGGCCACCTCCCTGTTCATTTCTTGGCTTCGCGCCCGGCTAGATTGCCGGGCACTACTGAACCCCCCCCCCCCCACACCGCTAAATGGTGAACGCACGTGGGGGCGGGGGAGTGTCGGAAGGACACAACTTCCTTTTTATTTAACGTTGGGAAATGCATTTACGCACGAAGTGTGGTACTCACCGGCGAAGCCAGTACTACCCACTAAAACCCAACAAAACCTTCCCCCGTCTTAATGGGGCGTCGCAGGATCGCTTACATATTCAACTACGACGCCCCGACGGCAGGTCTGCCGAAGCAGACCACAACAACCACGGGGTTGCTCCAAGGTCCACTCTGCCATCAGAGATGTACCAGGAGCAACCCGCATGGTACACCGCCCTCCGAAGAGGGCCGCCTCCCTGTGCGTTTCTTGGCTTCGCGCCCGGCTGGTTTACCGGGCACTCCTGAGACCCCCCCCCCCCCACCACGACAAGGTGAACGCACGTTGGGGGGGAAGGACACCACTTCCTGCGATGCAAATGTCAACCTTATAAATATTGCTATAGCTCTCATAATTGTGTGCATTGAAACTTACCACCATTGATGACAAATAAAACTTACCACCATCTTAGTTAGAATACAAATGTAACTACGTACTACATTATTAATTCTTATATATGCATTGTGGACAAAGATAAATTTTTAATTATGGGATATTGATAAGCATACTTGTTTTGACTAAAATAAAACACCAATATTTGATTGGTTGTACTTTATTTGTAGTGCAATATATGATTATTGATGTATTTGTGTGAGTTTGGCAACTTAAGTTCCGATACAAACGTAGTCACGTCGCACTTCCCTTTTTTTTCTCTTCGGTGCACATGCGCATGTACATTCTGTTAAAGCAAACGTCGCGCAGTAGTTTTTTTGGCTGCAATTTATTTATTTACAAATAAATATTTAGTGTTTCATGAATAGTATTTTTTTGTTATTTTTAATAATATTATTTATACAATATCCAAGTTTTTAGACGACCGGTCAAAACTATTATAGATTTAACAACAACTAATGTCAGCTGTGTCACTTGACACTTCATTTTTCAGGTATAAATTGACTAAAATTCCAACATCGTTATCGCTTAATATGTAAATGATTATTGCCTATATTATTTAAATAATGAATACGATGACAATTTAACGTAAATGCGATCTTTGTGTCAAACATAGCTTGTTTGTGTTTTGATAAGTCTTCGTCTTGTTTATCTTATTTTCTCTTATCATGCATAGGTGGAGACGTCTTCTTGCTGCTTCAATTAAACATAGTATAAAAAATATTAAAGATCCAATTTTAATTATAAAACGGGAAATGAGTGCAAATATGAGTGATAAATTTAAGTTGCCTGCCCGCTATGGTGCCGGCGAAAAAAGTGTTTGGTAAGCCATATGTTTTTATATGAAAAATTCTATTTAAACGATATTTGAAATCCATACTTTCTTGTTTTGTTACATAACACTTTGGTTACAACTATATATCTATGTTAGTTACTAAAAATTAATATTAACATAAGCACTAAATTAATACTTAGGTATGTGAAATTATCATTATTTAGAATGATAAATGGAAGCAGATAACTAATAACGTGCTATGTAAACTCATAAAAATTCGAATCTAGACTTCAAAAGAAATAAATCTAGATTTAAACATAATGTAATTATTATATAATTGAATACACATTTATATTTGTACTAATTTAAAGCAAGTATAAAATATACTTACACTAATATAATGTAATACTATGGGAACTGCTTCATGGTCTGACTATATCCCATAGGATATAGCTATAACTTTCTCCATGGGATAAATTGCATGCAGTATTTCTCCCAAATAAACTTATATATTCACATTATAATATTAATGGAAATAATTAGAGTTCTCATTTCTTAAATATGTTCTATACTAATAACTCTAATTTCATATTGCAGTTATTTCAAGTAGATATAACATTTTATATAAATGTAAATTAGTCAAACTTTGTTTAGTCTAGAAAGTTTCTTATTAATATTGTAATTCTCAATATCTATAGTATTCTGAATATTCAAGCTCAATTCTTAGTTCTAATATTATTTCTAATGATATTACTAGCGACTCAACGTCACTTCGGGCCAGAAACAAATCTACTCCTCGGGAACCACACATTTTTTCTTGATAAAAAGTAACCTATATGGAATATCACTCTAGACTATAATCTATTTCTTTGCCAAATTTCTTTCAGATCCATTCAGCCATTCTGGCATGAAAGAGTGACTTTCATATTTATAATATTAGTATAGATTATTCTTCTTGTTTCTATAAATTTCAAAGAAATTATATAAACATTATTATTTATTTTAATTACTTCCACTTATTACCTAATTAATACCTATATATTTTAACTTTATAATATATATATATATATATATATATATATATATATATATATATATATATATCTTCTTATATATATATCTTTTATATATATAAATTTTTATAATAACAATGTATATTAAAGTTATAATATATTATAGGGTGGAATATATCCAGCTTGCGGCAGAATATAAACCAGCTGTCAATCTCGGACAAGGCTTTCCTGACTATCATGCACCTGATCATGTTAGGAAAGCACTATCTGATATTGCTATTGGAGAAAACCCACTACTCAATCAATATACAAGGGGATTCGTAAGTTTAAAATAATGTTAATATTTTAGTGTTACTAGCTCATATAAAAGTCTAGTTCATTTGTTTTCAAATTATTAATATCTTTCAAATAAGGAATATGATAAAGAGGTAATATTTCTCTTGCTGAGAAAGAAATTTAGGTTAAGAATTAGAAATGCAAAGAATAAATATGTAAATATATATTTTTTTTAACCTATACTAACATTATAAAGGGGCAAGGTTTGTTTGTTTATTTAAATATGCTTACCTCAAGAACTACTAATCCAATTTGAAAAACTCATTTTGCATTAGATAGCCCGTTTATTGAAGGCTATAGGCTCTGTATGATATAATACCCACACATTAAACAAGCCACAAGACAATTTTGAAGATAGGTATTTTGTTTTTCTATTTCATTTTATTAGAAGAAGTAATAAACTATATTTTCTCACATTTTTATGGGAATTTTGGACCTTATTTCTAAGCTTGTAAAGAACTACATAGTATATAATTATATATACAAAGCCCATATTTTACTTATTGCATTTTTAAGTTATATAAATAGTAATAGTACTAATTTGTTAGTAACATGATAAATTCTAACTCCAACTATGATTTAATTGAAAGCCTTATTTAAAAGTCACAAGTGCTAAAGTTTTTAGTGTAATTAAGCATTTGTTATAGGGTCATCCTCGATTGGTACAAAATCTAGCCAAAGTATACTCTCCATTGATTGGTAGAGAATTAGACCCCTATAATGAAATACTGGTGACAAATGGTGCCTATGAAGCACTGTTTTCTGCTATTTTAGGTAAGTACTAAAATTTATTATTTTTTGTGACAAGTAATACGTGCTTAAGAAGTATGGACTTTTGTGTAACAGACATAAACGGCAAGCGACCAAAATTAATTATTATAATGGATAGTTGAATCAGAAATCAAAAAATCAAAAAATTTGTAATATATCGCAAAAAATGTCTAGCGTCACTAGTAAATTGATAAAATTAATGTTTATTTCGCACCTAGCGTAAGTAGAAATTATTCATTTGTTAGATTCTGGAAGGTTTAGATTTTTCAGAGGAATCTTGCTATCTTATCAAAATCTTATCCTCTCTTTAACAATAAGGCTATTTTTATTATTGTACAATATTTGCTCAATAATAAGAATGGTCTTTATATTTAAATTATTTAGTAACAAGTAAGATATAAAACATAAGTATGTTTAACACACGAACGATCCCCGGAAATTTGACCAGATAAGGTCCTTAGAAAGTCAAGCGTGTGGCGACCCTGATTTTACGATAACCTTTGAATCGTGTTAATGTTCAAACGTTATACGAGTATCTTCAATGTACAATCACTAAATATTGTTATTAATATATTTTATCAGTTAGTAATGTCGTATATTTTTTCCCGCTTTGAAACTATGATTTTCTGTCCGGCTGTGCATTTTTAAGTTAGGAAATTATATTTATTAGAAAAATCCCGGAACCCCGGAACCCTTATAAAGTCATTCTAGTGTGTCTATCTGTCCGGATGTCATACCATGTTTTCTCCAATACATACATATTATAAATATAAACACCCATGACTGATGTTCAAACATTCGTGCTCATCACAGAAATGAATCCCTCAGCTGGACTCGAACCTGCGACCGCTGGCACAGCAACTAGAGTAATGACAAACTGAGTCAAACGTGTCGTCGTCCGTAGTTCCCAAGTTTTTCTCATGATTAAATTAAAAATAAATATAAGTGTACCAATTAATGTGTTCATTGAAACAGTCTATCATAAAGAGTGGATTGTAAATACGTATTTTTGCAACTTTTTATTGTACCTATAGGTACTTTAAAAGATAATGAAATACACGAAAATTGGGCATTAGCATTAAACAACTTTATATAGATAACCTTTTAAACGGATAATATACAATATGTATGTATTTGTGCCAAAAAGGAAGGACATCGATAAGGCGGTTTTCTCCGCCGTTGAATAACGAAAAAATGATGCCATTCGGTTTGATCTTTTCTTTACATATTCTGAAAGTAGACTGTGTACTAAGATAATATATTTATGAGAAAAAAAAATACTACAATTAATAAGTACTTGTGAGACGCCAAACTGGTCTAAATAGGGATTTGCTTTCAAAAGGAGACATTTTCAGTAACATATCAACTTTTATATATAGTGCGCATATAAGAAGCACTTTCTCTTTTTGTTATTGTTGTTATGTTACTACACAATATATTTAAAAATTATAGTTCTCTCATTTAAATAAAAAAGCTTGATTTTTTTAATTTTTGTTTTTTTTTTTATTCGTATTACGGAATAAATAACTTGAATATAGACATCACTTCACACTATAATAAAGGGAGATTTAATAACTAACTTCATACTGTAGTCTAAATCTGTCGCATCGTATAAAAATCACTCTATTCATTTTTGCCTAACGCGCCAAAACAAGAATAACTTCAAAAGTTTACAATTTTACAAAAATTGAAAATGTCTCATTTTGGACGCAATGTTCGACGAAGTTACCAGTTAGACCAAAGTTTGGCGTCTCACAAGTAGTACATAGTTTTGTCTCTCTCATAAACATCGATTACAAAAAGTACTAGATACACAATCAGCGACAAAAAATGTCCTCACCGAACGAGCGCTCATTAGAACATTTGAGCTCACTTTTATTTTTATTTTTTTGTGAAAACAACTTTAAGCATTGCATTTAAGATTCCATTTACAATGTTGTATATTTATTTCAAATAGAATTAATTACCTAAACACAATCTGTGAAATTTTAACGAGAACTTTTACATGGGATTGTGTATGTAGTACTTTTTTGATCGATTCTCATAAATATATTTTTTTATCGGGCACACAATCTACTTTCATAATATGTAAAGAAAAGATCAAATCGTGTGGCATATTTTTTTTTCGTTGTTTGAGACCGGAAATGAGGGCGTATCGATACCCTTCATTTATCTTAGAAAGGTTAATGTACTTTATAGTAGATTCATCTTCTAATTTCCAGGCCACGTGGATGAAGGCGATGAAGTTATTGTAATAGAACCCTTCTTTGATTGTTACGAGTTTATGATCAAGTCGGCTGGTGGCATTCCCAAGTTTATTGCTTTGGCTCCTGTAAGTATACGCTGTATATGATATTGAAGAGGAAAAAAAACGAAAATTATGATTTAAAAATAAAAACTTTTTCACAAAAAAAGAAGTAGGTTAAATTAATCATTAGCTATTTTTCCACCCTTAGGGGTGGTATTTTTTTTGAAATTTAAATAGGACCAATCTGGAAGTATACACTTTCAAACAACACAAAAATTGTCCAAATCGGTTAATAAATGACGGAGTTCTGAGGTAAAAAAAACAGTCGAATTGAGAACCTCCTCCTTTTTGAAGTCGGTTGAAAATATGCACATTTTGAGTCAATTTTTTGTAACAGCTTATCAGGGCTCGGGACTGGTTATAAAAAACCGGTTAATTGCGATAATGTAATGGTTAATTTATCGTTTGTACATTGTCTGGTTAATATCGGTACTTAAAACATGCCAGCTGATATAAAGTTATAATAAGGTTTATTTCGAAACTTTTAAGTTATATCTACATATGTACATATAAAAAAATATCTCGAAAGACAGACCAAAGGTTGAACCCGTTAAATTGTAATTTAATAATATAAAAAAAAATTACTTACTTTTTTACGTCTATGAAATCGTGTAGTTTAAAAAATTATATTCTTCAAGAATATACGCTCAATCAGTGTGCCCGTTATGATAGAATTACTGACACAAAAATTAAAAAAAAAATCTTAATATTTGGTAATCATAAAGTACAGAATTCGATTTTTACACGATTCCAAATTACAATTTTCCAGTTTTTTTTTTATTATAATTATTGTTACAGAAATCTTCCAAACCAGTAATGACATCAGCTGATTGGGTCTTAGATGAGAAGGAATTAGCATCCCTTTTCACAGATCGTACAAAAATGCTTATTTTAAACACCCCCCACAACCCTCTGGGAAAGGTGTTTAATAGACAAGAGTTAGAAGTAATAGCTAATCTATGCAAGAAACACAATGTCCTGTGTTTATCTGACGAAGTGTATGAGTGGATGGTGTTTGAACCAAACAAACATATAAGGATGGGTAAGTTTTTTTTTAATGGTTTTTTTTTGTTTCTCGGCTGTAATTTATGAGTCTAAAGAGATTATGTATAGTTTTAGAAACAGTAAAACTTTGCTTGGGTCATAGGTGAGTCCGGGATAGGTAATTTATATAATTTGTATGGAACTTATGCCATAAGCTCCATACAAATTGATATTCGATACAATCCATAAGCGGGTTCAAATCCCGGGTCTCACACCTCTTGGTATTTTTATGGCGAATCATTTGTCAGATTACCACTTGTCTTACGGTGAGAAAACCGGCATGTCTGAGAGAACCTAGCAAGTATTCGAAAGATATTTGTTGTCGACCAACCTGCACTTGGCCAGTGTAGTGAACTGGTCCGCTCCTCCTCGTATTCAAGAGAGGTCCGTGTCCAGCAGTGGGATGTTAAAAAGGGCTGAATACATATCTCGAGTACAAACATTCGGGCTCATCACAAAAATGAATTCCCCCGGCGGGACTCGAACTCGCGACTGCTGGCACAGCAAGTTGTGTCACTACATTAACAAGTATTCCCATCCCAGCGACCTTGCCGGGCATGTGGGAGCGCACCATCACGGTGGGGTCGGCGGGCAAGACGTTCTCGGTGACGGGCTGGAAGACGGGGTGGGCGTACGCGCCGGCGCCGCTGCTGCGCAACCTGCAGGTGGTGCACCAGAACTGCGTGTACACCTGCTGCACGCCCGTGCAGGTGCGTGCTTCACTGTCTGTTTGTGTGTATATATTATTACATATATAAACGATCTTTTCGGTTTATTTCGCGGATTTATTTTGATTTTTGGCTCCCTACATATCGAATGCTTTACAACATTTTGGTCACTGGACATACTAAGGTTTTGGACGTCTCGAAGGTCATGATGGCTGTGCAGTTTTATTTAAAATGTCAAATATTCGCGAAAATCTAAGAAAGTATAATTTAAAGATTAGTTAGTAGTTTAATATGAAGAAGCAGATGTTACCCCCTGAAAATAAATCTGCCACCGCCCAAGTACATAACTAACAATAAGTTCTTTAACACATTGTACGTGCGCGAATTTCACAATTAAACGCTAACAAACCACATTACCTTGTAATGTAATTAATTAGTCGCTAGAAATTGTACAATTTCCAACATTCCATGAAATGTGACCCCATTTCGTAATTGTTTCACACACGAAATAGGTCACGGTGTTATGTTAGTGGCCTATACGGTATTGGATGTGCTGTTTCAAAGCAAGGATCGTGGATATTATGGTTTCCATTAACCGACATTAAAGACGAAGTTTTTGTTGTGGCTGTTTTGTTTTTTGTTTTGCTATGCGATATTTTTTCTGATTCCTGTTATATATTATACCAATTTTAAAAGTTCTTTTTTCATATTGAACCTTTATCGGAATCAATATCTTTTCAAGGTTTTATTAAAAAAATCATTTAATAAAAATAAAACAATGAACCCTTTTAAGGGGTTCGAACGTTTCCTATGGAAGTTGGCATTGGTTATCAACTATTATTATTTTTAAATAGCGGCGCATAATGATTAGGATATGTATGATTTCACAAACATACAAAAAATATCAGCAATTTGAGAACTATAGAAATTAGTTTTAAATCTTTTATTGTTTTTATATTGATATTCATACGAACCTCTACTCCATAATTTCACATGCCATTTAAATACATCCCTGTGTATATTACACGATGTCTTTGCTAAAGAACTGATTTCTTTGTTTTTTTTTTATGAAAAAATTGCACCCCACCCAATAGGGAATATGCGTGATTTTTTTCACACGATAGCTGACATCGTTATATTATTGTAAAAAAAATATCCAGCTCCAAAAAAATAAAATTTAGTTAAGTATATTATTTTTTAAATATATCATACCGCCTATGTTGACATTAAACGCCTGCCGGCGTGACGTCATAGTCTATAATAACAGAGCCAGTGTTGCCGATTTAGCGATTTTGTCACTATAAATGACGAGTTTTGCGCAATTTTAACGACTTTAACGTCATAATCAACCTGACCAATGACGTAGCGTTTCAACTGCTTTGAATTTCCCACCTATATTTGCACTTTTTATTTTTCATAATAAAAAAGAAATTACATTTCATATGCCTTATTGATGAAGTAATTGTAATTTTAAAGTCACAACTTTTACTTAAAATTAATTGTTTTTAATTTTTTCATCTTATAGGAAGCTGTAGCCCGATCTTTTGAGATAGAGTTAGCTCGGATCAATTCGCCAGAGTGCTACTTTGTATCACTTGCTAAGGAGTTGCTTTCTAAAAGGGACTATCTGGTCAAAGTTCTCAGAGATAACGGGTTCAATCCCACGATACCGGATGGTGGCTACTTCATCGTTGCTGATTGGTCTCAACTTGGTAAGACTTCTTCTATACATATAATAACATTCTAAGTCGAATCTGTACATTAAATAATTTTTGGAAAATCTTTCTTAAATAGTTATTAGTATCGATATAGAAGCCGAATCTATAGATTTTAGAATTTTCGTCTGTCTGTCTGTGACCGCATCACGGAAAAACTATGAGGGATTTTGATGAAATTTGGTATAATGATAGCTGGTTATCCGATTCAACATATAGGATACTTTTTGCTGCGGGAAAATATGTCATTTCTGAGAAATCTATACTAACCGTCAAAACGTATCCGAGCAGAGCAAGGGTTAGTTGCTGGTCTTATAAAATTCAAATTATTTATTTGCGTGACATATGAAATCACGAATTTTAAATAATTATAATTAACTTCCAAATGAATGCACACTGTATCCACCTTTAAAGGTTGTGCATTTAGACTTAAGTTATATTGTTTTTTTTTATATAAAATACGATATTAATGGAATAATAACTGATTTATTTTATTTATTTACTAGCGTCTTATCGGGATTAAAAAGTATCCTGTTTTTCCCAGGGTATCGAACTATCTTCATAATTATCATCTAAATCCGTTCAGCGGATTTTTAGTTTATCCATTCCATAAAAAAATGGGTGCGTGTAATCTCTATACGCGGTTGAAGTAAAACTTCTTTGACAAATATCGCAATGAAATTAATACAAATCAATAATTAAATAAGGCATATTAGGCATATATGATATATTTATAGAATATCATATACGTAAAGAATGTATTCTATCTCATTCTCTCGCCGGCTTAATCCTATACATTTATGTGTTTGTCTCTCTTTAGTGTCACATTTCCGTTTCATCGAGTTTTAAAACACAACTATTCTAAAGAAGTTTCACTTCAAAAAAATGTCTTTAAAATATTAATATACATTTAGAACCTAAATAAATAAATAAAATAATTAATATTTTGTATTTCAGCAAACAAAATAGACCTTTCGTCGGAGCCAGATAAGTACAAAGACTACAAGTTCACGAAGAAGTTCGCGAAGGAAGTCGGCGTGTTGACGATACCGCCCACCGCCTTCTATTCAGAGCAACACAAACATCTCGGCGAGAACTTTGCTAGATTCTGCTTTATAAAGGTAATATTAATTGGATTGAGGTTTTAAATACATATATGTTCTAGTTGTAACTTGAGAAAGACGCTTTGTTGTTGACTTAGAAAGGTCGACAAGGCACGTATTTGAAAATGAGATATTTTTGAAATATAACTTGTTTAGACGTGACTGAGGGGTAAGTCAGTACATTGGAAAAATGAGTGTCGCACAAGTGAGAGTCAAGTTTATTATTAACTAGCGACTCGCTCCGCTCTGGTTCGTCCCTTATGTTCTAACGTTTAGTATAGATTTCTCAGAGATGACATATTTTCCCGCAGTAAAAAGTATCCTATATGTTGCACCGGATAACCAGCTATCATCATACCAGATTTCATCAAAATCCCTCCAGTGGTTTTTCCGTATTGCGTTCACAGACAGACAAAATTAAAAAAAACTATAGATTCGGCCTCTGTATCGATAATAATGTCTATAATTTCAATATTTTCCAAAAAATATTTAATGTATAGATTTAGAATTTTATTATATGTATAGATATATGTATGTACATAGTATATGTATATGACATTTCATATTTATATGTAACGGTAATGTGACTTGTAATATGAAAATATGAATACTTTATGATGAACACCGCTACAAACAAATAAAAAACATATATCATAAACAATAAGAAATGGACTACTAAATGCGAAAGTGTATGTCTGTCTGTGTGTTATTTCTTCATCCACGGATAGACTGTGATGGAGTAAGACATAAGCTGAATGTGCTACCTTAATTAGTTCAGTTTAACAAATTTTTTTATTCTTTGTCTGCAGAAAGATGAAAACTTAGCACTTACTGAAAAACTAATCAAGGAATGGAACGCGAAGAAGTAAACGCACATAAGTTGTGAATATATAAATATATTTATATACGTAATGCAAGGCTTTTATAAATCTGTCAGTTTTCAAACAAATATACAGTAAATATAAAAATGAATGTAAGGTTATGATGATACTTGTAATTTTACTTATTTCATTGCTTTTAAACTTCTTATACCCAAAAAGGTAACTGTGGTGCTATTCCAAATTTTAACTGAGATTTTTTTTATAATAAGTGTAAAATATGTACATACATAAGTTTTGCTTTGTTCAAAATTTGTTATTTTTATCCATATAAAATATATAATAATGAGAAAATATTTCATTTATTAAGCGTAATCTATTGTCGGACGAATAAATGAAATGTATATTTGTAAATATATAAATAAAACTTTTTTAAATTTTATATATATACTTTATTTATCAAACATCCCTGTAAAAATCTTCAAAAAATCCAAGAAAGTTGGTAGTCCATTGTGTGAATTTAGTTTCATAATCACGATGTAAAATCTCCGCGAAGCCATCTTTTCGCATCTCTTGTGTCATTTCCGTATGTTTTACCAAACCTACAATTTCACCAATATATGAATATTTAAACTTCATTATAAAATATGGGGTAGTGTTAAAGGACTTCATTTACTTATAATTTAAAAATACTGATAAAAGTACTAAATACGATATACCTAAAAGGAAAATTCCTTAATTGAACGTATTCGTCGGTAGCGAAAATAGGCGGTTTGAGTCTAATTTTATAAAAGCTTTAATTTTTTTTATAATTATCAAGATATTATACACTTTTAATAATCAATTAGGGACTCTATAAGAAAACAGCTCATAGTTTTGAATAACCAAGCCCAAGCTGATAATATTATGTACTAGCATTGCCCGCGGCTCCGCCCGCGTTCAGATGACCAAAAACCAAATTCTTAGGTTTTACATATTAGTACACTCTTACAATGCAGTTTTTGTATTTTTTCTCAAAAATGAGATATTTTCCTGCGGTAAAAAGTATCCTATAACTTGACCTGGATAACCAGCTATTACCATACCAAGTTTCATCAAAATCCCTCCAGTGGTTTTTTGTGATGCGGTAACAGACGACAGACAAATATTCTAAAAACTGATTCGGTCTCTGTATCGATAATAATGTCTATTTCAATAAGACTTTCCAAAAAGTATTTAATGTACAGATTCGGCTTAGTTACAATTTTATTATATGTATAAATAATAAGGATAAAATTACACTGTTACAATAATAGTAATTTTTTGTAGTTATGTACAAAAATCTGAAATGCCTATCTATGCCTTCATAAATTTAGTGTTGAATCAATGATTAAAAAATAAAAAAGCAGTCATGAGAACTGCCGACAGAAGTCAAAACATAAAAATATAAAAAAAAACAGTTGTTATTCTGGATATTCAAATTAATTGTTTGATCTTAAATTAAAGTTTGTAAATTAAAACTGTTTACATTTATCTGGTTTTGACATCTATCAGCACGCTGAGTATTAGTAGGGGAGCCCAAGATATAGCGTTAACACGTCACGTGACCATGTCGATGACGACTTACATGAATTTACTCCCCATTCAAACCTGCCTATAGAAATTTTCACTTCAAAAATCAACGACCATACAATCTGGAGCCATTATTATTATAGATAAATAAGTTTGTGTAATTACTCATTTACGCCAAACGGCTAAACGAATTCAAATAAAATTAGAAATTAAGATAGCTTATATATTAGAGTAGTACATAGCCTACATTTTACACGTACCACTCAAGCAAAGCCACTTACAAAACCTAGTTTAAACATAGACATGAAACATTCCTTACCTAAACGTACAGCCCGGCACGTGTCCCGCGTAGTTAGGCAACATACCCACATGTTTGTGGTAGATCTCCGTGGGATTGATGGATAGGGGAGGATCGGGTCTGGGGAAGGAATTATTTTTTAATATTTTAAATCAAATCAAACGCTTTATTACGAACTTGGGTTAGTATACATACATTTAGACTTTTATAATAATATTGTTAATGTTCAACCAAATTCAGCCTTACAAGAGGCAATAATTCAATAATTAATTAAAGTACTTAAAATTACAAATGTCACTGAAGTTTAAGACTCAAAAAAACAATTATATTGGACTGCAGTATACAACTATAGGTAGGTAAATTAAGAGCGTTGGAAACGGCGAGTCCAGGACTAAAAATAAACCGAATTTTAATACCTACCATATTATTTTTCTGTTATAGTATAAAACAATAATAGAATGATGTAAGCCTTGTTTGTTAAATAGCACATACTTTTACAGTAAACTAGCAGAACCCGCGGCTTCGCTCGCGCTAAAACTACAAAAAATATCTAAAAAGGTAGTTTCAGACAAACTTTCATCCCTTATTTTACCCTCTTATAGAATGAATTTCGAAAAATGCTGAAACACGTATTTATTTAATTTTATTGAAGAGCATTAATATCAAGTTTCATGTAATTCTGATCATAAATATTTTTTTGTTTTGTCTTATAACGTGTTTTCCCATTGGAATTAGATAACATCCCGCGTTAAAAAGTAGCCTATGTCACTCTCCAGCCCTCGAACTATATCCACACAAAAAATCACGCCAATCCGCCTCTCCGTTTCGACGTGAAAGAAGGATAAACAAACACACTTTCAGATTTTTAATATTAGTATGCATTTCTATTTATATAAATGTATGTATGTATGTATGATGTTCACATCTTAGAACACATCATTTGTCCCATTGTAAGCCTAACAATAAGTATAATTACGCTTCTTCGTATTTTATGAACTTATAAATAGTTATTAAGATAGTATGTATGTTTTTATTCGCTAAACGACGAAACGGCTAAAGGGGTTTGGAAAAATACACAGAAACTGTAACTTTGAATATAATAAACACACAAGTTACTTTTAATAATAAAATTTGCCAAAAAGTAGGGCTAATCGATATTTAAAATTACATCATATAAATTTGATAAAAAATCGATATTTTTGAATCAAAATCGCAAACGGAATGTTCCCGAGCAAAGTGAGGTTAAGTCACTACTCACTAGTCAAATCTTTAAAAATAAAAGGCAAAACCAACCCTTATCAATAAATAACTAAATAAAACACCACAAATCTTAAAATATGTACATATATTTTATTTAAACAAGCATTTTGACCATGTACGGTCCTTCCAAGTGATATCCGATCTTCGCATAATAGTTCCTCGTGCCGACGCCAGAAATTACGGCCATTTTGTCTGAGCCGTGTTCCTCTCTAGCTATACGTTCTGCTTCCTCCATCAGAAGCATACCAAAACCTTGATGTTGGAACTTTGTTGGGTCTCTGGCGTTAACCTGAAAATATAAGAAATAGACCTTTGATCTTTAAGACGTCTAAAACCTTAGTCTCTCCCGTGACCATGATTGCTATAAAGCATTCGAAACGTCGGAAATAAAAAATCAAGATCAATCCCCGGAAAAATCCGAAGAGATAGTTTTATTTAAATGTCAAATATTCGCGTAAATCTTTTTTTTTAACACACAGCACCATTTAGTTCCATGGTAAGCAACGAGGCTTGTGTTATGGATACCAGATAGTTGATTACACTACACATATATAACTTTAAATACATACATATTATAAATATAAACATTAAGCACCCATGACTGGAGTACAAACATTCGTGGTCATCACACAAACGTATCGTACGGCCACCGGGACTCGAACCCGCGAGACAAACTGAGCCAAACGTTACGTCATCATTTATATGTCAGTAATTTGAAAAATAATGAAAGGTTATTAAATTTTTTTTCAGTATAGCAAAAACGATTCAACACTCACAGGTACAACAGATCCATACACATGCAACTCCCTCACGATACTGCACTGTTTGAAGTTAACTTTGGGACCCGGCTTCAATTCCGGTCGGTACGTGTCTTTGGCGCATTTCCTCAACCGCAACAGACCAACCAGTATATCTTGGTCCGGGTCCTCATATGAGAGGAATGTCTCCCACCCACCGTTGGCAACATAGTCACGCCTTATTAATTCTATCTGAAATAAAAATAAATGTAATACTTCAACCTTAGTAAATCCTGATAAAATAATTACTTTCAACTAAAAAATAATTGTGACAAAAATATAAAACTTAAAAGTGATAATATTTTTTCTATTTATAATGGGACCAACCATAAAAGACCGTACATATATTCTGATAAAAAAAAACAATTCACAAAAATAAACAGCCCAATTTACTGCCTTCCTCTTTAATATCTTGGTAAAAAGAAACTCAATCCTTACCTCATAAGGCCTCACTTTGTTGTGTATTTCTTGTATACCGACTTCCCTACTTCTCACATCCCTGCAATCTGTTCCTAAATCAGCCATACGGGCTAACGCAAGCTCTCTTAGGTTACCATGTTCCACCCCCGAAGATACAAGGGGCATGGGTATATCACGTTGTACCCTGAAAATGTTATATAAGTATTTTAATATAATCAACTATAATGTTCTCTTATTTGTTTATTATTTACCTTTTTTAAATAATACAGATAAAATAACATAATATAAAAACAATAGTCTTTAGCAAAAGTAGATATTTAAAAACCTTTTTAAAATTTTTATGTAATTTTTGTATTTGCTTTTAAATGGTTATGCATGATTGTGCTGTATTTTAATTTTTTTAATTTAATTATTTCATGTAAAACATGTAATAACCACTAGCAAACCTTATTATAAAATAATAAATAAAAAATAAAAATTCTTAAAAAAAAACAATTTAATAATTTACAAACTATGAATTGATAAATACATATTTGTATATATGTAAATTAATTTATAAAATTATCTATCAACTTACCTATAAACTCTAGTCCACGGTGGGACTAAAGCCAATATCTTTGCAATCAGATCGACCAAAGTAGATGGTGGGTAGCTCCTGTACCTTCCCGTCTTCCACAGTTCATATAAACCAGTACCTCTTATCACTAGAGTTGGATAAATCTTAAGACCATCAGCTCTGAATGCGGGGTTCTCAAAGAACTCCATAAACTGTTCCACATCTCGCTCAAAATCTACATTTGGTAGATCTGGCATCATGTGAGCTACAATCTGTAGAAAAAATAAATAAATAAAATATAACTTGGAATATTGAAATGAGCAAAGAATTAGAAGAAATTTATAAAGACTTTTTTTAAGATTAGTATCATATTAATGTGGTATACATTACATAATATATTACTTGACACTTTAGTAAAAAATTGCATCCATTAACCCTCAAACTTAAGCTGCCATAGTACAATGTTACTCAACAAAAAGATCAATCTAGCTTTTTGCATTTCTTTACCTTAAATCCAGCGTCTTTGGCAAGATTAAAATTCTCACATACAGCTTTCACAGTATGTCCCCTGTTAGTATCTCTTGCTATATCTTCATATACAGATTGTACTCCTATTTCCAACCTATTATAATAAATAAATTTATTTTATATATGTTGGGACATAAACACACAGGACCATCTAGATCCATGGTAAGCTACAAAGCTTGTGTCATGGATACCAGATAGTTGATACACTACACATATATATAACTTTATATACATACATATTATAAATATAAAGACCCATAACTGGAGTACAAACATTTGTGCTCATCACACAAATGAATTCCCCCAGCGGGACTCGAACCTGCGTCCGCTGGCACAGCCAGTAGGGACACCACAAACTGAGCCAAACTTGTGGTCAAAAACTATTTAACACTATCTTAATTATCTCAAAACATGAAATATTTCAAGATATTTTTTAATTACTACTTTATATCATATTGTAACATATTGTTTATTATGAATCTTACCTTGTGCATCCATAATTAAGCATATCACTCATGTGCCTTTGCAAACAATAATCTGGCCGAGTCTCTATAGTAATACCTATACATTTAGTTTTAGCTTTTTCTGAATACTTCACTGCTTCTGCTACACAACTTGAAGTGTGACCAGATAGGGCATCATGGAGGTTCCTATAAATAGTATAAATAGTACACTATAAATAGTATAATAATTTAAAACATAGGAACATTATCCTTATTCAAATATTTTTTTGTATTCAGCAAATAACAAAAACAAAAACTTACCTTATAAAATAGTCTCTATAATCCTCTGGTAAACTCATAAAAGTACCACCCATTACAATAAACTCCACTTTGTCCACACTATGACCTAGTTGTTTTAGCTGTTCCACTCTGTGACGGGTCTGAAGATATGGGTTATAGCGCGCTCTGATAGCCCTCATTGATGTAGGCTCATACCCTGTGTAACTTTGTGTGGAATATTCAAAATCTGAATCAGGGCCACCGGGGCAATATACGCATATATTACCCGTAAAATTTATATGTGGACAACGGTGTGGTTTACACATGACAGCAACAACTGCTATACCAGACGCCGTGCGAATCGGTTTAGCTTTCAATTTCGGTAGCAAGATACTCTTTGCATCAGCAGGCACCGCAGATATGATATCCACTAATCTTGGTGACGTTCCCAGACCATACTTAGACGCAATTCTAGTCTTCATCTTGTTTAGGTTAACATCTTTGCCTTGTCGATGTGCTACCAGCAGCTCTTGTATGATTTCCGATATAACGATCACCATTTTCTCTTCCTTCGAGAGATGCGGCATTGGCTTTTTCTTTGCCATTTTAGTATTTCACTATTTTCAATTTGTGAAATAAAAACGCGTGTAGGAATCACAAATTGACAACACACATTTGACAATTAACATGATAATTGACAGCTGACTTGACACATCATGACGTAATAAGTCAAACACAAGTCACAACTGCCAAAGAAACTCAAAAAAGATTAGAAAAAATGCACAAAATTTAAAGATATATAAATCAATTATTTATTATTTTTCAATTAAAAAATTGTAAAAGAAATAAAAAATAAGTAAAAATTCCACTATCATGTCTAAACAACTTACTTGACAACATTTACTGGCGCCCATTCAGTACTTTGCCTTCGTCTATAGTTAGACGAGAAATCGCAAAGCGCAGAGTTGGTGAGCTTCTTTGAAGACTCGCCAAAACGTTGAAAGCCGTATGGAACGTGTCCAGCAAAACCTATAACAAATATATTAGAGAGATATAGAAAAAGAATCCATATTGCAGTTAGGGACTGAGCTCTTCCACAATAAACGGAATTTATTTTCATTCATTGAGTGTGTAATAAAAATAAAATTCATAATATCACTTACGAATTGATTCAGAAGGATTGAATCCCCAAATTTGATTTCGAACAAAAGATTCATGAATTTTTGCGTATGACATTTATTATCTACTTTATGAAAATTATATAAAGAAAATTAAAAGAAAACACTAAAAATAATTTTCAACAAAGTCGAATTTTGTCATGTCAGTGTCAATAAGATTTATGTCATTTATATTAATAATTCATGTCAGCGCTTAAATTAATTATCAAAAAAGCTCATATATGTATAGTTGTATATTCTCATTCCAGTACAGTTTCCATAAAAAGCTAACGATGTAATTTTTGTTTTATTTTATTAGAGATCCCATACCTTTCTTAATATATTTATTTGGGTCACTGTCCTCCATAAAATAGGGACTGATGGAGTGAGAAGGTGGCGATAATTTGGGTTCGTCCATTGGCACATCTCGCAATATTCCAGCACATTCAGGTCTTACAACAACCAAAGGCAGTTTAAATTCTGCTGTTGCCGACTAAAAGATACAGAGGATTTATATAAACATTGTAATTAAAAAAATTAAGTTTAAGCATTTTCAAAATTACTTAAGTTCTTCTATTGCTGAAATTCATTATAAAATGTCAATGTCACGTAACAGCCTCCATACTGATACAGTCATGTATTCTTCACCAAGCGGTCTCCTCTTTCGTTCTTCTTTATCTTATTAGGTAAGTACATGTTTGATTGTAATTTTTAAACTCACAAATCTGTCAACAAGGTCCCAAGGTTGTCCTTTCCCGGCTTGCAGATCCACCACTCTCTCAAGTTGATTTCTTGCAGCTCGTTGATTTAGCTGTGATCTCTGGAATTCTGACAGGGCTTCGGTCGCGGACACCGTGTAGCGTTGTCCGAAATGAGCATTCAGGCGTGGCAAGAAACCTAACACATATGGCTCAATAGATTTATTGCAAATACACATATCATTTGATTATATCGCGAAATTGAGAAGTTAAAAGTTACATTCACTAAAAAATATGTGTCATATATTGGGATTTTAAGACTTCAATTATCCTGCATAGAAAAAAACGCAATGTAATTTTATATTAATAAAAATATCTATTGCCATAACTCACATATGAAAATACAAAGTTGACGTTTTTCCAAATGGCACACTATATATAATGTATTATTTATTAACAACTAAAATAAGGTAAAACGGTTTGAATCGCTAGTACCGCTTTGAATATTTCATGAGTTCGATTCCACGAAACATATATATAGGGAAAGGGGGGTACACTGGATCACTTTTTTTCAAATGTAGTTTAACTATATAAATAAAGTATAAATTACCAATATTTATATGTAGAGCAATGAGGTGTTAAGTTGGCTATATAAATCTAGTTCAACTTTAGCAATAATATTAATAGTTTTCTGAAAGCAAAGGTTTTTTTAAAAAGAGGGAAATTATTCATTGTACCCCATATATGGGGTACATTGGATCTCCGCATGGGGTACAGTGGATCTTATTGGGGCACAGTGAATCAACACATGAAATCATCATACATTTTACTGTTGGGTTACAGCGAATCAATCAATATTGTAAAAAAATTATATAAATAAAAATATTTATGAATTATGTGAACACTTTTAATCAACAATATTACAAAATTATCAATCTCTATTTATTTTCTATCAGTCGTAAGTAACACATTAATTGTAGTGATATCTTATAAAACATGTACTTAGTATTTATATTAAGCAGTTTAAGGTATTATTTAAGGTTTAAAAATTATTAAATGGATATTATAAATCTTGAACGAAACAAAATAAAACATATACACAATAAAACTAATTTCAAAAATAAAAACATATCACGTTAATACGAAAAGAAATTAAAAAAATAAAATAAAAATTAACGCAATCTTAAGCGAAAAAAATTGAGATTGATATCATTTATAGACTTGCTGTTCTCGTTTAGTGCCATAAAATGTAGGCAGAGGTATTTCATTATTATATATTCTAGGGGTACTGAAGCTATATTTGGAACATCAGGTAATCTGTACCCATTCTTTACTTTTGTTCTCCTTCCCTTTCCTGTGTAAAATACTTTCTTTTTATGTGCATCTAAATATACTAGACGCAGAATTTTTTCTTTTCACTCTCTTTGTACTTATTAGTCTTTTCTCTCTCTTAATTTGTACTACTCCTTTGTTTTTTTCTATCTTCGTCACTAGAATCGAACTGCATAACTTTTTTACTAATATGTTTTGCTACTTTCACAAGCTTATTAATTTTATCTTGTTGACGTTGCTCGATATATTCTTTATTACTAATTCTTTTTCAAGTGAAAATCTTATTTACCCCATAATTGGGAGTTAAACGTAGCTTGCCAATGTGTTTTATCTCTTCGCATAATATCTATGTAAGATTGCATATGGATTACTTTTCGAGTTTTACAACTTTTCTAATTTTGTTGCCCCGTAAAACAAAGACAATGGCATTTTGTCTATTCAGTTATTCAGTAGTAAGACCAATTTGAGTCTTTCTCTTTCGGTGCCGTGCTATGTTGTTAATCTAAAACAAAATTTATTATTACATACTATAAATAGAATAGTCTAATCAACTCGAAATTTAGTGTGGAGTACAGTGGATCGCCAATCCATTGTACCCCACATGGAAATGGCCCACTGTTCCCCAAAGCACCACTAACAACTGAACAACAAATTCCTATAACTTACATAATCTATACGAATCAAACAGCTATTTATTTCTGAAGCTTATTAGATTATTGTTTAGGTAATTTAAAGTAAGTCATTGAATATTAAACATTTTCGTGAATAAAACACTCGAGTAATAGTAGTAAAAAAATAGATTTGATACTCACGGATAGCCAAATGGCGGTAACACATTCTTCAACAGCGAGAGCGTGATGGACACTGGCGGGGTAGAGGTGTAAGTACTAAAGCATGCGTTCCATTATTGTGGTACGTGTATAGAAAGCATAGGCAAAGCCACTGATTCACTGTGTACTACGGCTCACTGTACCCCCCTTTCCCCTATATATATATATTGATAATGATAATTGTGAACAAGATACATCCCGTTAGCCTTGAATCTGATAGCAAGGCGTAAGTGGAACGGATAGGACATGGTACCGTTTGCTTTAGTTCTGAGATATGACTCTGTTCACGTCCAATCTGCAGTTATTCAGATGATTATGTGTTATCACTCCTCAAAATACTTGTAATCAGACATTCGAAGCCATGGAGAAGTCAGTAGTAAATAGCAAAAAATAGACAAATTGCTTGAAATACAACTATTAATATTATAAAGAGGTAAAGTTTGTGAGTTTGTGACGTTGTAGGGGGTAATCTCTGGACCTACTGAACCGATTTAGATGAAATTTGGTAAGAAGATAGTTTACTTTTTATCCCGGATATCATTCCTTAAGGAGATGAAAATGGGAATGAAAGTTTGTATGGAGAATCAAGCTAGGGACGAACCCGAGCGAATCTATGTTGAGTCGTTAGTTACAAATATAATTTATAATTAAATTTTATAATTACAAAAATTACCTATATAAAATAACAATTCATCTCAACAAAAAAATTTTATGACTTTATTATGTTAATTAGTTGCATGCTAATCTTAATAAATTTTGGCGGAAGTCATAAGGTAACAAACATTACAAAAAATAACTTAAATCCAAAATGTATTTAAGTTTACTTTGAAAATGGTAATCAATTATAAATTTAAAATTTTTTATTGTCCTATATTTTACTCACTAATTTTACAATAAGACGTCGTTTTACCTAAGCACAAAATAAGCAAAGACAAAACAGTTCAGTACCTTTTTCTCCTCTGTTTATCAACCGATTTTCTTTTTTTTTTTGCTTAGTAGCTATTGACGAAGTCTAGCGTTATTAATAAATAAAAAAATTCTAAAAACAAGCTTTTATATCATATGAATCGTGTAATAGTAAGAAATGAGTTCGATTTAATTTAAAAATTAGTTTTTCATTTTTTAGGTATAAATTCGTATTCTTCTCAGCAAACCTTTTCATTTGATGATCCATACCATGCGGGTGCATTAAAAAAACATAGTCCGCTATCGTTGGGAGTCCACCATATTGGATTTAGAATGACGTCACATATCTAACCATACCATGCATATTGCATTGTCTTTGTCAATTGTCATCCAAACCTTATGTGTACGCACTGTAACTAAACGGATATGCAAAATTTCAGCTCAATCGGTTGAGGATAACTGCTTTAAACTTCAGTTGCAAGATTTAACCCTAACAAATATAAAAAAGGGCATTTTAAATAAAAGCTTGTATAAAAAGATTATGTTCGAATTTCAACCATTTAAACTAGATGCCACTATTTAAACTAGATGGCATGACTAGTATAATCGCGCGCCCAATAAAGAATTGAATACTTTACAACATAATTTTAATGCATTTATTTTACATAATAATCATTTATTAATTATCTATACTAAAATCTATATTATAAAGACGAAAGATTTTTTTGTTTGTTTGGTGGCTTGCTCAAAGCTCTAAAACTTATGGACCGATTTAGATGTGCTAAGAAGGTTGTTTGCGACCCTGGGAAGGACATAGGAAAGTTTTTATCTCGGAAATCATCCCATAAGAGGGTTAAAATGTGGATGAAAGTTTGTATGGGCAAACAAAATACGTAAAATAAATGCATTAAATTCATGCATTTTAATTGTTATAAGCAGGCTAAGGTTGTTATGTAAAACAACAATGAAGCTTTCGGAGCAAATATAAAGCAAATACAGGAAGGCAAATCAGATTAGGTATAGAGATTCTAGCGCCTAAGTATTGCAACACTCCTTGCATAACTAATCGACTCTAATATCGTGATCGATGAGGTTTCCATTAAGCTACCGTGTTACATGCCGCATTTTATGTAAGCAAAATAGTAATAAAATAATTCTATTTACTTTACAATAAGACAAATTGTACCATATATTTTATTTACATTTAAAATAAATCTTTCTATCTTTTCGCAGTAAAAAGTATCCTAAATGCTGACCTGGATAATCAGGTATCATCATACTAAATTTCATCAAAATCTCCAGTCCAGTAGTTTCCTCGTAATGCGTTCCCAGACATACAGGAAAAAAATCTAAAAATTATAGAATCAGCCTCTGTATCGATAATAATGACCATTTCGATAAAAATTGGAGCTTTTTATTAAAATAAATCTAATTCAGTGATAACGGGAAAGCATAGTAAGTTATCACGTATCCCTATCTAAGTGCAAGGAAAATAGCATGAAGCACTCATGCATAATATTATAATAAATCTTCTAAGAATATGTATCTACCTACATAGTACATGTAGGTACCACCATAAAATAGCCACAAGTGCAGTTACATTCAAACCATAAAAGTAAAGCGTGGGAAACATTAACGACAGTGTGTGTCATGAGACTATGGTTGGTCACTCTCACAAAAATTAAGTACAAAGACAGTTAATAAATTGGTTTGAACTCTGTACTATTAAAATAGGCGGTGTGTTGTAGTGTGATTACAGCGCTTTTAACTAAAACGCCGCATCTTCATATTTAGAGGTCCATACGTCTAATGAACAACGATAGGTACTGGAGCAAATCTTTATCTTTAACACATTCTATTTCTCTTCATAATTTGGATTATTAGACATAAAAATTAATCATGTAAAAACACTTATCAATACTTTTATACCTGAAGGTGACTTTGTTTGATTTTTTGATGGTTTCAAAGGCCCCATTACTGTCTAGAACCGTCAGTTAAAACCATGAGTTGAAAAATTCTTATCACATTTCATAGTTTTATTGAGGAAGGTTATACTTCTATTTAGATCTTACTACTTACTATTTAGCTCTTAGTATACATAAATAAGCTATGCACGCAGAACCGCAGGAAATGATAATATAATGGATAATGTGATATAATACCTGGGACATCCCTATTAATAATAATATAGTATTGTACGATCTATGCTATTAGATAGTGCGTACTTTATACTCATAAACTAACTTTCATCCCTATTTTCACCCCCTTAAGCGATGAATTCCGAGATAAAAAGTATCCTATGTCCTTTCCAGGGTCTCAAACTATCTTCTTACTAAATTTCATCTAATTTGGTTCAGTAGATCCAGAGTTTACCCCCTACAACGTCACAAACTCACAAATTTTGCCTCTTTATAATATTAGTATAGACTAGCGACTTACCCTCGCTCAGGAGCGTCCCTAAGGTTGAATGATTTAGGAACGCAAAGACCAATGTCCGAAGAAAATTCTTTTTATTGCTCCAAGAACCTTCACTGGCATATACAGCATAATCCATCAGTTTCATCACAATCAGACCAATAGTTTAGCAACGCAAAGAGGGCAAACATACGACCATTTATTTTTATTTTTAAGAAATAATTGTAAATTTTAACGTTACACGAAAAGAATCTTACTTATTAATAATATAATATTTCGATGCACTTTTTATGGGTCATTTCCATGATTACGATCTCGATGTTATAATCTCAGGAAACCAATGCATTCTGACCGGTCCAGTGATGTGAGTCAGCCAATAAACACTGATTCATAGTGTCTTATTGCAGTTTCGTGTTTAGATTTGAACTTATTGGTTTTCTCTCGTTTTATGTAAACATATGTATGTATGTACATATATATTGGTCAAAGTTCTATTTAATATTAATTGAAACAGAATTTCCGCAATCTGAATGCATTTGCATATAAATTTATAATAATTTATGAATTAAAATAGATTCGGTATCTTCATTGCTTTTAAGACGTAGGCCTTTACTAACAACGCACCTATTGATAATATTAATGCCCTTAGGCCTTCAAGATAGGTAAATCTTATAGGTATTATCTTTCATAATGTGTAAAACCCAAACAATGACTAAATTATTAGGGCGATATAAACATCCAAGTAGATTTTGTTGAAAGGAAATCGAAATTGCAACTTGTCATTCAATTGACATATGGACGTTAATTAACTATAGCAACAACAGCATATGTCTTTAACTGCTAGCAATCAATAAAGAAAAAAAAATATTTTGATCTCCGGACGAATCATAATCACTACACCATATTATGCGGGTAACAATTGATTACTCCGAAATCTCTTAGACGTGAGTAATTTAAGTCTTTACGAAATTGTATAAAATATTCCTTTAAACTATGGAATTATTTGGTACATTAACATAGCTTCTATGAACTTACCAACTATGATTAAGTAAATGACGCATTCGCATTAGTACATGTTTAATTTGCGGCTAGAAATCCTTGTTTATTTTTACATTTAATAATTTGTATTCTATTCTTCAAATTATATTGACTCATTATTACTTTAGTTTCTATAAATGGTAAATGCGATTAATGCGCGCCATGTTTAGCTAAAGCATGTTCTTAAAACAGTACCTTAAATTATATCAATTTTAAATGTGGCAAGTAATCGAAGTGACAAGCGAGATTTTCAAGCCTATTGACTACTCCAGCTCCTTTTTACTTTTTTTTCTCTTGTGACATCAGAAATTACATTACTATGTTACTATAGCTTACTAGGTTCAATATTTCAATCATTGATATGGGCATTAGATTTTCTAATTGCTTTTTTGCACTAACGAAAGCAGTATAGGTACAGTAAGTGCTAGTTAATTAATATAACAAACATAAATCACTTTACCATCTGTGGACACTTTGATTATCACTAATTTTATAAAGAGAATTTATCGGGAACCTTAAGTTAGTTAAAGAACTCACTCACAAGTCACAACACACAAAGTTGCTCACTCGTTAATGAAGCCATATTAGCGTAATTTATAATTCAGTCTAATAATATTTCAACGTAAATTCTTTGTTACATACGTCGTCAATCAATATGTCCTTTAGATACTTCGGTAGTTGGTGCATCCATAATAGAAAACTTAAATGCATAGTATATATTATACACTATACAGGTATAGTACATACAATAAAATTGCAATGGGGTTAATGTTGTAAGAAAATAGAATTTGGTAGGAAATGGAAATGGAATTTTGGAATAGAATTGGTGGATACTATGTACCTACACAAATAAGTAAGCCTTTATTTAATTAGGTAGGTAGTAGGTACCCAATTAAATAAACACTTTATTTAAGGGTAGTTAAAGGTACCTATTGGGTATTTTATTTTGTAGAAAGTCTATATTTTTATGAAAGCCAATCTAATCTATTCAAATAATTTAAAAATCATCTTGTCTGTCTGCTAAATCACGTATCTACCTACCTACTTATTTTTTTCGATATATGTACTTATGCAGCTGGAACTCTCCGTTCTACGCGCTCACATTCATGGCATAGAGTTGTGTTTACACGCGGGCGAAGCAGAATACTGAAACTAGTTTAATACATATGATTTAAATAAGATATTCAGGTCATACTATTTAACACGGTGCCCATTTTACGTTATCTTTGTGTCTCGAGATCTTGAGATGTTTGAATTTCGGATACCATTACGAAATGTGATGTTTTTCTTTTAACACAGTGACAATAATTATTTCTTTACGTGAAAAAATAATTATTTATATAAGTTTTTAAAAACCGTTATAAAATCTTAATAAATTGTTTTGAGTTTCTCTGTCAGTAATACCTATACCTATATAATATATCACTTTACATGTACAAACAGCAGTCAGACAGTATAGGTCAAGAATAACTTAGGTGCATCCGTTGCATACCATACACTTATGTCTTATATACGTACCTTCATATCCTGGTATCATAGGATGCTTGTACACCGGGTCGCCATTACGGAACCGTGCATTCACGACATCCACGTCAGTTTGCGGCGGACGATATATCTGATAAGGAAATATTTCGATAACAATCTGACGTGAACATGTCGGAGTTTTCGAAAGCGATTTTTGTAGATATAAGTGAAATAAGTATACCTACCTACTTTTTAAAAGTTTAATAAAATTATCATGAAAAAAATATATATCTATAGTAAACAGTATGTCCGAATACAAATCATATTACCTACTGTGAATAAACTAACTTTATATAAGTATAAAAACTAGCGATTCACCCTCGCTCCGCTCGGGTTCGTCTCTAGTTACGTTTTAACATTTAGTATAGATTCGGATAGACACAGAGATGAGATATTTTCTATCTATATGATGACCGGATAACCAGCTAACGTCATACTAAATTTCACCAAAATCTGTGCAGTGGTTTTCTCTTAATGCGTTCTCAGACAGACAGACTTAGACTAGATACGTACTCTGTATCGATAATAATGACTATTACAATAAGATTGTCTAAAAAATATATTAATGAACAGATTCGACTCGGTTAGAATTTTATTATTATGTATAAAAATATTTTTTTACCTGAAAATCATCAGCAGTTCTGTCCGATAACACCAAACGCTTGGAGTGGTTGACACTAGGGTCTAAGAGGATCTTGTGTGTCGTCGACCCGTAAGTATCCCCAATACGATATTTATATTCGGGGCAGTGACCCGTATAGCTAAAAAGAAAAAAAAACAAGATATTGGTAACTTGGTACATTATAAGAACCACAAAAGTATAATATTATTAAGAAAGGTAGATTCACGAGAGAAAAAGAACAAGAATACATACATACATTATCACAATATAATATATAGGTACATATAAAGTCATGTCTTGACTGACTGACTTCACAAATCAGTCAGACCTAAAAGCAGCATCTTAAAGCTCTTATGACAGTTTATTTCTAACACAAGTTGATGTATTTCTGGTCAAGTTCACTTAAAACTTGGCAATAATATTTTCTGTCAAGGAAACCGTTTTGGTGCTTTACAAAATGTAACCTATCGGGAGATTTTTTTATAAACACCAGTATTTCTAAAAATGAAATAAAAGATATAACCTGACGAAACTGCTTGAAGTTCCATCAATAAAGTATTTAAAAGAAATTTTTAAAATCATGTCATGCATGTTGAATATAAGAACATGACGGCGCAGAATGTGTTGAGTCATTACAGCAACATTTCTGTTTCTCCATCAAGGGCTATATCATGAAATACTTATCCCTTAAATAATATATCAATCGCGAATCGATTATAGCGAAAATGATGAAATAAAAGTGAAATTGAATTTCGTAATGCGTCCATGAAAAGGATATTTATCTTGGGATTAGTGACATGTGCAGCATCTTCATATATCACCGCCGTTATCCTTTTATTTATAACTTTGTCAAGTCTTAATTGCTCAAGCCTTTTAGCATTGAAACAAGATTAGCGATTGCGATGTGTTATGTGACACGTTGATGTTTATAAATAATGTGTTTATAATAAATACGTGGGTTAAGAATTTAGAAATTCTAGATCGACAAAAAAATTATAGATATTAAATTAATTAAAAATTATCTATTATTGCCTCTACTTTTCAGATCATATTTTTTTGTATGTCTGTGTGCGTTTCACGCAAAAAGTACTGAATTGATTTTAATAAAATTTTGTGCAGTGAATAAGTACTTCTATATATGTAAAACGTACCCGCGGACGCAGCCAAGTGAAGCGAGGTAAGTCCCTGGCATGAATGAATTGTGGCTAATTCGTTCATGGTCCCTAGTTATAAATAAAAAAGTTTTTTAATTAAATGTACGAACCCAGGAATGTAATGGGGCTGTGCAATGCTGACTAAGTCCAACGCCATGATTTATTATTGCTAATATTAATTAATAAGATTAATTTAACTAACTCATAATTTCCTTAAGAACTTAAAATTATATGTGAACGATAAGACATCGGTTTGTAAGATTGTTTTGTCAGAATAATGTCAATTTGTTTGTGTTTTTAATATTGAATGACAACTTTCTGGACAGTTTCATTTTTAATTTTACGACTTACTCTTCGCTTATGTAAAAGTACTTACAAAAATCTTTGTAGTACCTTCCTAAGCCTACCTAAATATTCACTATTAAAGATTGAACTTCAACAAAAAAATTATAAATTTTCCTGATTAAAGTTAAGTTGGAAATTAGGTAATACCAGAAAAAAAAATGAACCAAATGTGAATCGCAATTGCAATAGGGGTTCGTCATATATATAATTAAGGTTCCATTTTATTAACCGATGAAAAAAAGGATTAGGTTCTCAATTCGACACGTGATTATTATTTTTATTAGGCACATAAAACCAAATTGTTTTGTACCTACAAGTAATAATAATTTGAATTAGGTAATTAAAAATAAAGTTCCATTTAAATCTATATAACAAAAAACATAGTTAAATTTTAATTCGTTTATATTATAATAAATGCTGTAGGTTTATAAATAAATTTAAAAATTAAAGTAAATTATTAAAAAATCACATTTGCTTTCGTTCATTCTCAAAAGTTATCGTTCACGTCACGACTCACGAAGTTGACGGTTGGATATCTCGTTCGTTACTGCGTTCACCCGCCAGACCGCCATATTGGTTTGAACTGCGGCGCCGAGTGGTTGTGTCGTCGATGGCGCGCTAAAGTGACAGGCAGTTAACGATGTAAATCAAAACTTTCTGAACTTCGTTAGTGTGTATTTATTATTATCAATAAGTATTGATTGTGTAGTGAAATAAAAACAAGTTTTTTAAAGTTAAATCACAGTAATCTTAGGCCAATCGGGGCTTCGGCGAGTTGAAATGCAAGCATTCCATGGAGAATGTTGAACTTTAGTTTTTTTGTTCGGTGCCGCTTTTCAATACTTTTCGAGTTATTTTTTAAGTCTATGTAAACTGTCTGCTGGAACTGATTTGTACTTCGCGTGCAGTGTTATTGTTGTGTTGTAAATGTTGGTGTCTTCAAAATCAGCATTTCTCTGACGCGGATTACCGAAACATTCAAGGTTGGTGAAATTATCGTACCTAATTATTATATAAATTTATAAATACCTAGGTATATGCAATAAATTAAATTTATACTGACAGTTTGGTATAACCAACTTTAACATTTAAGTAGATGGTACGTTAATAGATTTGCTTTGTACTCTCCAAATTCACCAGTTTTGTTTACACTAATTATAAATTAATTACCAATCTTATATAACATTTGATATAAAAATGTTAGTTAAAATTTTATGTGAATGCCGTATGTATTTGTTAAAATAAATGACAAAAAAATGATTTTTCTGTAAATGATGGTTAACATAAAAGGAGTCGATATCAAACAGGATGTCCTTATTTTAAAAAAATGCCAAGGTGATTTCAAATCTTTAAGACAGCTATGAGCCTGTCAAAAAAGCTGCTCCACTCAGACCGGTGATTCAAAAACCATGCATACTATCGGCCCATGTTGGACCACTTTAACCACATTATAAGCGGTTCTTCTATTAACGTACATAAACACATAAATCGGAGAATTCTTCTGTTTGGAGATATTCAATTAGGTCATCATTAATATATTTTCACTTATTAAATAAAGTAACCAAAAAGGAATATAGAGAGCAAAACGGGTAAAGTTTACGTTTCTCTTATTGACTGACACTGGCAAAATCTCCACAGTACATATATAGGTATATAAAAACTAGTATTGCCCGCGGCTCCGCTCGCGTTCAGATGACTAAAAACCAAATTCTTAGGTTTTATATATTAGTATACTCTTACATTGTAGTTTTTGTATTGTTTCTCAGAAATGAAATATTTTCCCGCGGTAAAAAGTATCCTATATGTTGACCCGAATAACCGTCTATGACCATACAAAATTTCATCACAATCCCTCCAGTTCTTTTTCTGTGATGCGGTAACAGACAGACATACAAAAATTCTAAAAACTATAGATTCAGCCTCTGTATCGATAATAGTGTTTATTTCAATAAGACTTTCCAAAAAAATATCTAATGTACAGATTCGGCTTAGTTACAATTTTATTATATCTATAGAGTACTGCCTAAAATAAATTAAGTAATTGACTGCAAGACACTAAAAACACTTAATAGCGCAAGTTCAAAGGACAAAATGCACTCATTCGAAGTATGCACCAATAATCTTAAATCTATGTGCTATAAATTATAATATGTGTTTTACTTAATGGTAACTAAATGGTATGGCAGTTCAGTTAAACAAATAAACCACTTCTAAACCAACGAATCCTTTGTTAAATTCGTGATTTAATGTGCAGTATTTTCATTTTCCAGTAATTTGCTTTGCAAAGATTTGAGTCTTCTAGAAATGTGCAATATGCAACAACCTTAGCTATCTTATCTTAGTCCTGCCTAAACTGTGATAATCATATAAAACGTTACAAACAAAACATTGTTTTGCACTATCGCTACATAATAACACAATTAATTAAAATTTATTATGTCAAAATAATTCACACGTATATATAATCTCTATTTTAATGAGAAACTTATACCTACTGCGTGGAAGTTATACAATGTCTTATTTAACATCCTGCCCTAAAGTGTCTTAGCATATGCAATCAGGAAGATGCCGACGTCCGCTGTAATACTCTGTGTGACAGTGGTGACAAACATTATAATCTATACTTAATTACTTAACATTATAAATGTGAAAGTGTGTTTGTTTGTTTGTCCTTCTTTCACGTCGAAACGGAGTGACGGATTGGCGTGATTTTTTGTGTGGAGATAGTTGGAGGGCTGGAGAGTGACATAGGTTACTTTTTACCGCGGGAAATTATCTAATTCCTACAGGAAAACACGGTATATAGTCTATCTATTCCATACCAACCGTTAAAACGTACCTAGGAACGAACTCGAGCGAAGCGAGGGTGAGCCGCTAGTAATAAATAAATTAAAATATCGTCCAAGTTAAACGCTCGTAAATATTATAATAAGATGTTGTTAAGTTTACAATTGATAATACCATCATTGTACATAGATTAGAGGTAGTTACAAGGTTATTAGTTGAAACGAGGCTATTCATACTTGTTTTGAATAAGATAAATTATTTTTACACTATACAAGATAGGAAAAATTCAAATGTATCATTTCTAAGAATACTTTAAAAAATCTGTCTAAGATTTTATAGTAAAAATATGTGAAGAAATTTTAAAGAAAACGATGTCATTATTTAGAAATAGTATGCTTGAACCTCGAAAGCTACGGTCAACCAATTTACATATGTAACGCTTTGACAATCACTTGTTCTCTTCAGTCTTACGGAATCTGTAGCGTGATTTATATCGTTTCACGGCCAGTATTGGACGGTACTAACCGGTTCGGAAGAGTCGGTTCGCGATGAAAAAGGCCCGTGGCTGTTGAATTTCGAGGTCGTAACCCAATTGGGACCACAGGTAGTGTTTGTAGTACACTTTCTCCGATGCGTGACGCGCTTGGTTTAAGTTTGCAGGTGCTCGATGCCAGATTTCATACTGCGAAACTTAATAACTATTTGCTAATTGATGGTAATAAGTTTAAAATTAACTTGGGGTTTTATTTGTTGACTCACCCCGGCTTCGCTTCAGGTTCGTCCCTAGTGAAAATAAAAAACAAATCTATCCCACGGGAACCATAAATTTCCGGGATAAAATGTAGCCTATGTGCTATTCCAGACATAATCTATCTCTGTGCCAATTTCATCCAGATCAGTAATTCTGGCATGGAAGTGTAAAAAACATCCATCCATCTTCACAAACTTACACATTTATAATATTAGTAGGTAAGAATTTATGTGGATACGATTCGTCATTTATTGTTACTAAATCTGTTAACAACAAATAAAGAATTCGAATAATAAAATTATAATAATTAATTGTTAAAAAAAATACCTAAAAATAATTGATAAAGTGCGAAAAGGAGTCGAATCAAGTGCACGGAAGATTCGGTACCATCACACAATACATGATTATTATTGTGTTATGAATCATTTACCAAAAATAAAATCAGGACAAGTGCGAGTCGGACTCGTCCACCGAGGGTTTCGTACAAATTTGTAGGAAATCTGCCTAACTTTATCAGCTTTTATTATTTTTTGGAATTTTTCCTTTATTTGTGCTGAAGACCTTGCTTTTTGCCAAATTTCGTGATTCTAGGTCAACGGGAACTACCATATAGGTTTTCGATCCAAAACCTATAGGGTACTTCCGGTTGACCTAGAATTGTCAATTTTGGTTAAAAGCTTCGTCTTACAGCACAAGTAAAGAGAAAATTCCGAATTTTCGCGAAAATCAAAATTTGCCTATATCTTTTTATCATGTTGACTCGGGACCTTGAGTTTTATACACCTAATAGGTACTATTAGGACTAGGGACGGGAATAGACCTCAGTATATGGTATATATTTCAACTTGCAAGGTCCACCCGTTCCTGAGAAAATCGGTGGTGACACACGGACAGACGGACAAGAGAGTGATCTTATAAGGGTTCCTTTTTTACATTTTGAGGTACGGAACCCTAAAAACTGTATTGAAATATAAATATAGTGATTAAAATCAGTAGCGCGACGCGTTATAGTTTAAGTATTAAGTTTACGGTGTGCTATGGTAAAATCGTGTCTGCAATAGATCTTAAACAAAGAAATCCTAAAACATGTTTCAAAAATGTTGCAAGATCCCTCTTATTATGAAGTTGTTAAGGGTATATTGCCGTCATAATAGTATGTATTGTGTAAAAATTCCAACCGGTTACAAGCGGTCAAAAGCATGAAGCGTTAAAAGTTGGATAGGCGTACAAACAGACAGCCAATGTTGTCTGAGAACCCTAAAAAGTGCACCATG